TATATATATATATATATATATATTGTGTTTTAACGAATAAATATTTACGAAAATGAATCCTTTTTTCAGAATATTTTGATAAAAAATAGTTTTTTACCGGTAAAAAGAAATTAGCTCTTTTATTCTCGATTTTTTATTCTGAAATAAGAAAAATTTGTTTTTTCTTTCAAATTTTTAAAAATCTATGTAATCAATCAATATACTCGAAAAATTTCTCGGATGAAATATCAGCCTTATATCTGATACATACATGTACATACTTCCAATGTTATGTTTAGTGTACATTTATTTGAAGAACTACAGATATTTATAATCCACACATCTATATTTTAAGACTGCCTTAAATAATGTCTTAAGATGCTAATGCAGCCCTGTGATTCGAAATATCTTAAAGCTATACTTAAGATGGTCTTAAATATAAGAATCAATTGTAAATACCGACCTATAACTTCTCTATCTTCATAAAATAAATTAGTTTTTAGTAAATTGGAAAGAATTAATATATATATTTTTCCGTGATTCTCGTGATAAATTAATATCTATTATATGTTAATAATAAAAAAATGTTAACTTTATTGCATGCAATTGTGCTCTTTGTTGCAGTGGTCTACGCATTCGCGTATTATCCACGTCCGGCCAGATACAGGTACAAATGGTTATATCCTTATGGACGATAAGAACTTTCGTCTTACCGATATTTAGGCGGGAGGTGGAGGTAATCGGCGAAAGTGGTTCTACAGGATACATTTCCAAGCCAGCACAAAAGACCGCATACATCCGATGAGGGATTCGTGTAGCAATTGAAATACGCAGAGTTCACGACATCGAAATGTATAGTATAGGATATACTGTGTGCCTTCGAAAGACTTCTATTGAACGAAGCGGACATTTGAAGTTATCTTTTTCGAGACGCTTCATATATATCTCGGTCTGTAGACAGAAACAATTACACGGATTCTGTAAGCAAACCAGAAAACCTGGAAACTCGAATATTAATAAAATATCATCTTTAACATTAATTATGTAGCAATCGTGGCAATGTAATTATTTAATTTGTGATAAAGACATTCTATGAGTTCCATTTCATATGTTCGCTGTTTGCAATCGTGGCGAACCCAAATACGTAAGTCTTAAAAAAACACGAAAAAATAACCGAGTCCATCCTTGGTGAAAAGATTTTCATATTTAAATTATAATTTCTCATATTTTTAAGGATTTTTCATATTTTAAATTTATGGATATTTTCAATTTATTAAATTTATGCATATTAATATTTAAAAAAGTAGAAGATATTTTAATTTATGAAATTTATGCATATTAATATTTAAAAAAGTAGAAGATATCTTAAAATTCTTTAGATTCTATGAGTTTTCTTTGAAAATTATATAGAATGAGAATATATATATATATATATATATATATATATATATATATATATATATATATATATATATATATATATATATATATAATCTAAAATTGTATAAAAGACACACCATGAAAGATCACACCATACATTCCTAACAAGTGTATTATATGTAAATTGAACGTTTTGGTTTTTAATGTGCTACCACATACTGCACTCAAACTATAAATTGCGCCTACTGTATGCAAAAGACATTCCACTTTGCTAAGTCCATTAACATAAAAATATATCGTAACTCATTATTGATGTTATACACTTACAAGATGCACAGATCGCACCTCTTACTGCAATTTGACGCTAATCAACACGCTTCATAACGTCGTCGCTTCTGGTGGACTGCAGAGAGAAAATATTTGCAATTATTGTAAACAGACTAAAGTCAAAAAGTATTGTCAATAAGTATTCATTTCTTAATTTATTTATTTTGTTGCCGTTGCTCTAAAAAAGATATATAACTAATAAATTAACTAATGTATCTTATTAACAATAAGAGACTGGTACTTTGTTATCCAATGAATATAAGCGTGATTTTTTTAAGCAGGATATGCACGATCTTGTTGCGTGAGAAGAGATAATATCTACGACAGTGATTGTTATTACGTAAAGATATCAAGCGATAGCTAATACTAACCAGAAGAGACTAATCGTTGTTGCAAAACTAACCCTCTATTGCTGTGTTATCTCTGTCTCTCCTCAGTTCCCCACGCCAATCACCAGCCCGGAGACTGAGCCTTGGCGCTGGCTCGAGTAAGTCTTTACCCATGCGTAAGCATCATTTTCGTCTCCGTATATGTGCGTGGCATGATGTTTCTTTTACTGTAGATGAATCTGATATTATAATTATTATTGTAATTGCCTACATTTTCCATCTAGGATTCCGTTTGGAATTCTTGCTTGTTATATTTATAATTGTAGTGCTCATTTACATAGCGAATAAACAGACTTAGATCTGCAATTCATAGTTTTGTATATATATATATATATATATACATACATACATACACACATATATATATATATATGTATATATATATATATATAAAGTCATTATACATTATGTGCATTGTAAGTATATATTGATATAATCAGTTTCATTTTAAAAAACTAATTAAAAATTTGAAGAAAAATTGTTTTGTGAAAAGCAATAGATTGAAGACATTTTATTATTTACCTAATGTATCATTTTAGATTTCAATGTTATTATTGTATAAATCGGCATCGGATACGATTAGATGAATTAAATTAAAATTGAATTAAAATGTGGCTAACTTTCTGTATTATACGTGCGGTGATATGGTATGGCGTGCTCTTCCCATTTAACTGCATGCTTCCTTATGATTAAGTTCACTGTTTCGTTCTAATAAACATTCACGGCCGCTGCTTTTAGCTCGAAGAAGAAAAAACGTAGAGATGTGAAAGAGATGTGAAAGTATCTGCGAAAGTTTTGTTTAATAAAATTAAAATTAGCTAAATTAATGTAATCAAGTTTTGAATTTTTTTTCTTATATATCGATATATCATTCATATCATAATTTCATCATGATATGATATGTTAACGATATGTTAACAAACTTGTATCTATATTAATATAATAAATTTTGGTAATAGAAAGATTTTTATATTTTAGGAAATCAGAAAACTTTTAAACTAATTTTTTTTATAACTCTTTTAAAACTCCTTTCGGAAAAAAGAAGGAATATTTTTGTCTTAATTATCTGATTATTGAACTTAATTGTGAAAAATAAATAATATATTATAATTAATTTGTAACAGCATTATGATTGTATAAGGAATAACAATGTATTTTTAGAACCAAAATAATTGCAATAGCTGAAATATTTCGAAAATTTCAGATTTATTAGATAGAATTAACTTTTCGTTTAATGATCTGATCTTGTAATAAGAGTCGAATAAATATTTTCTTTTGCGAAACAGAATATCGCAGACTCTTTCTTTTTTCTTCCGAAGGAAATCACTTAGAAATGCATTATGTGCACCACATTTATCTGTCACAGGTCATGAGACTAGAGAGTTGGAAACAACGATGGACGGGACTCGGCGGGCAAACCGTGCGAAGTTTTAGCATCGATACTGAAAGCGAATTGGACGAGCGGGATCTCAGAATTTGCTTGCAGGATCATATCAATACGACCACGCCAAACTCACCTGAGGTATAGAATTCTATGTATACCAAGACCATTAGGCAGCTAAACAATACTCCGTTATCGATGCGCGCGAATCTTTTGTTCATCGTCGGCTTTTGCTGTAGGAAATAACGCGTATGCGCTTAGATCGTAACACAAGAGTAGACCGTAATAATCCTGTTTACATGTATTACTATTAGGCCAAATATAACAAAAATACGCGTAGCCGTTGATTAATTATACTAAAATGATAACAAAACAAAACAATGAAACAGTAAATAACGATAGATGCTTTCGGTAATCGAAATAATCTCGATCGTAATCAGGATTTGAAACTATTGTAAAAAATTTGATTACAATTTACATAATTTGACATGTTAAAATTTCTTCAGAGGAGTATAACAAAATAATTGTTTCATGCGTAGCGGCAAATATTGTTTATTATACTAGCAATATTATTTTTATTATTGTAACATTTTATAGATTACATTACATGGAGTATTGTAGAGCATATATTAGTTGTAATTAATAGCAGAGTATTATACAACAAAATATAACTAACACACTTATTTATATTAACAATAAATAGTCGTAATCGTAATTTATATTTGAAAGAGATTTATAACCGCTATATGATCGAAAAATCAACAAAATCTAAATGATGCGAATTTACATTTGATTGCATTAAATTAATTCCATTTTATTGTATATTGCAAAAAATGTTTTAAAATAAAATATTTCTTAGTTATATATTACATACGTAGCTGTATATATTTTTTCCATTTTGCGAATTTTAAAGTTTAAAAATTAATTTCTTCACAAGTTTACAGGAACTAATTTGCATCATAAAATTTTGAATCAGATTAAGTCATGTTATTACGTGCATTATTACGTGTCAAAATATAAATTCTTCTATAATCTCTTATCTCGGTTTTTTAGAAGAGAACAATTATCAGAATTAATAAGATTAATTTTAATAATTAATCTCTTTCTATTTTTCTTTTATTATTTGTATTTTTGCGATATAAATATAGATTTTTATAGAAAATCTATATTTATATATCACAATAAATATTGAACCTAACGATATGTGAATAATATTGTGAATTTGTGCTGTCTTTTTTAGCTTTTTGAAAGCTTGATTACGATCTGTAGATTATACGAAGATTATCATAGAGTTTCTGTGACACTCGCAACCGTTTTTATACGCATGATATACTCTGTGTATTTTTTGTAATTCATACCAAATGTAATCGCATTTAAGGAGTTATATATTTAATGCCGGAAAACGTGGGGGCAGTAATGTATCACCGTTTTTTATAAAAATATGTATTTATATATTATATACATATATGTGTATGCGTGTGTATGTATGTATGTATGTATGTATGTATGTGTGTATGTATATGTGTGTGACGAGGAATCATGGCATATGAATCGACGATATTCATACTACACACATATATTGCGTGCGTCAAATTGAAATTTAACTATTTAAAAAGATACATTATATTCTCAAACAAGAGAGTATACCAAATTCTTATTGTTGTCGTATATATGTATATTATTTGTAACATACTTGACGAATTTCTTAAAAAAAAAAAAGGAGTAAGAATAATTTTTATGGGTAATATGCAATTTGCGCACACAGCACGAAGTGTGTATAGTTAATTGGATGACGATCAATTTTACTAGGAATTATAAAATCGCGATAAATCAACTCGTAAATCGTCCCGAAATAAAAAGCGCAAAGGACATCTCTCTCAATCGATTTAACGATTCTAGATTGTTGAAATTGAAACCGGACAAGATAATCGGAAGTACTTGTAAAAATTAGCATCCGAGCATAGCTCGTTCTTTTATCATGACTCGGATAATTACTTTCAGCATAAGTATCCGCGTCTTGCTACTTTCTTTTACAGCAAGTCATCTTAGCCTACTTGCAAAACGCGTCTTCTCTCGCTTGGCCTAAATCGTTACATCCCATTCCTTTGTTGCGTTAAATAACCGGCATTGTTTTAGCCATGTCACAGTACGCCGTTAAAACTGTATATTAAACGTGCGAACCACGAGTTACTTTTCTCTCGATAGAAGCCCTCTTCGCTTTTCACGCATGCATGTGTGCAAATTAGCATGAGCGTATCGTTAATGAAGTTATGACGGTGGCAAAAACTGTAATAGTATTATTTTTCGATTGTGTGCTTTACGTGCAATTTTTTGCATCGCGCGAGTTTAAAACGAAAGAACGAGACGCCAAAATCGATATTAATTAAGAAGCGAACGAAGAACTGTAGGAAGCGTGAATAATATTGACTGTGTAAGACGTGTCAAGCAATGTATTTATTTGTAAGTAGCATGACGAAGAATAAATGTGTAAGATCGAAGAGAAAGTGACATTTGTATTATATTTCTGAATTTAGCACAGACGTATAGTATCTACAACGATACTTTTCCGATGCTGTTGCACGTCAACGTTGCGCTGTTAAAAATTATTATGCTGTCATTACACTGCTACTAGACAGTCAATTTAATCACTATGAATTCTTGGCGACGTAGAATAACGTGATAAGTTACGACGTGCGAATCGCGTCTTAGTATCATAATATATCTATCTGTAGTTTCTGCGTCATTGAATCTGTGTGTATAGACTGTCCTAGACCTGCCGAGCTGTCTTTCAGACTCTCGAACACCGAAGAATCGAACTATTAATTAAATCAACGATAGTTTCAATTATGGCCTCGATATAATTATATAATTATCTGGAGAGAGAAATTGTGCAAATTGAAGCACGCACTTAATAAGCGAATTAAGTTCTAAAAGTGATAATGAAATTATTATTGTTCAGTAAGCTCGAAATTAATCTAAATTTAGTTCTATTATTTTGAAATTTTTGATGACTGTGATATAATCTCTTTTTAGAAATTACAATGCTGCGTCAAAGCAGGCAGTTTTAGTCAAATTTATGCAAAAAAAGACGATCGTTATAGAATTTATAGAATTATTATTGCAATTTAACAAGCGCTGCTCGCTAGGTCGAGAACACCGTGTACACGATACGAATTTATTCCATTTAATTGAATTATTGATCGTGCGCGATAAAAGCGAAGTAATAAATAAATCAACAACTATACGATTGCATCCAACGGTATCAATAAATTAAATTACATGCACTATGTTGTTTCTGATAATAAATCATTATCATTAGCCGTCAAGTATTTCCAAGAGCAAATCCCTCGAAATTTCCTTGAGAAAAGTTTAGATTTTTTATTAAATTCGAAAACATTTCTAAAATTTAATGAAACTTAAATTTATTATTTTTCAATTTTTACTTTTTTGTTTTATTTTTTAATAGTCATTCATTTATTTTAACAATATATCTTGGCTTACGACACACATTGAAAAAATATACTAAATCTTAATAAATAATTTGAATAGTACCAACTAAACATTTACTAAACTGTAAAAATATATTTACTTGGTAGGACTATCAATTTGATTCAACCATCATTTTTTATTGAGTAAATATTTATTTACTATAAATAAATGTTTAGTTAATACTACTTAAATAAATATTTATTTTAAATTTTAGTACGTTTTTTTCTCAGTGCACGTATTCATGATCCGTGCATTTGAACGAGATTTCATACATCAACATCGTTATTTTATCGCTTATGAAGCGCATGAGCGATAGCGTCTGGCGTTTTGTAGTGCGTCGCGTCGCCAGCATTAATAATTTAACGCACAATTCTTTTTTTTTCCACGGAAACCAGCGCGTTCGATCGCGGTGTGCACCACCGCGTCGTAGCAGGTCGAGATGGCGTGCGTTCGTTCCTATTCGCGACAGCGGAAGGTCATCGAGGAGACAGTTTGGCGGTCTCCCGAGCCGTAGCGAACGGCGGTCGATTAATCTGCCCGCGGATCGATTTGCCATCGGCGGCATTCCGCAGTTTCTTTCAGCGCGATGCAACCGCCGTAGAGAGGGAAAAGATAAAATATTAAATTATATTTTTTTATTTTACAATCGAAATAAATATTATGCGGTCCATAAGATTTTATCTATTTTTGAAAATGACTCTTAAAAAAGATTGTGCATCACTAATTAAATCGATCAATTTATTTTCTTTTCTAATCGCTTTTTTTAAAGATATGAGGGCAATTTGAATTTGAAAACTTTGCTAGCCCTTAAATGATGGTAATATTTGAAACATAATTGACGCATGTGACGACATTTATTTTATGCATAAAAACTTTTAAGTTTGAACTTATTCAGTAAAGTAGTTTGTTGTAAAAGTTAGTTTAAACGAATTGTCCGTGATATATTGTCCGTGATGAAGTGGATGACATTGAACAGTGTGCCGCGATTAAGTATTTAAAAAAGCTTGATACGAATAGAAATTTTTAAGGAGATGAAAAACTTGTTGTGGTAGTGCGTCATTGTATACAACAGTAAAAAACTGATAGCTACAGTAAAATAGTTTGAGGAATTTTAAAAAACGGATTTCCGTAATGGCATAAAAACGCTGGAACATCGCTGGATGAAGTGCATTGAAGTTGAGAGAGATCATATCAAATAAAAAAATTAACTGAAGAGAACTTTATAAAGGTGAAACGTTCCGCTTATTAATTGCTTTAAATACCAAAGTAGCATAATTCATTGGCGAAACATTGGTTAAACATTTGCATTGGGAATATGTTGATATAATATTTCACCAATTTGTTGGGTCGTGTTATTAAGGTATTTTTAATAATTAATATCTTTCGTTTGTTCATTTATTTTTCTATTCAACCTTTTACTAAAAAATGCAAGTAATTTAAAATATAAAGTTGTATGCTTTTATTATCAAGCCGCGAAGTTTTCAAATTGCTCTGGTATATGTTAAGGATAATTTATTTTAATCTTATCAGGCAAATATTTCGAAAATATGAAATTTTATCAAAAAACATTCCAAATAAAAGTTATGTGATATAAAGGGAGACGTCATCATTAAGATTAAAACAAATTATCTTGTACATAATGACGGATTCACGAGGGGTCCATGAAGATTTGAAGACTCCTTAATTCTTAAAAACATTCATAAAAAAAGATTATATATATTTTTAATATTTCTGAAATGTTTAATCACTATTTTGATATCTCCAAAAATATTTTT